ACAGCACACAAGTGCAAGATGGTTGCTTATTGTATATTGAGATTTGACTTTTATATAACAGTAAGACTATATTGCTATCCGAATATTATAGAGGCCATATGACATAATCAATTTACATAAAAAAAAATACCATACATAGTGGTTAACCATAACTAATTAAAACTTGTTGTCAACCAAAATTCGGGAGTGATGAAAATAAAAAAAAATTATGTGTGGGAAGCGGTATGAGATTAAGTAATGAAACAGTTGTTTTAATTTTATTTTTAGGTTAAAAATTTGGTTAAGAACCAAAACATAAAATGATACATTTCTTTTTTGTTTTGTCCTATTGATTTTAAAGAGATTCGAAATTTTGTTCTTACTGGGTGAAGAGTAGTGTAACTATCCGCATTTTTTAGAAACGTCACAATGTTGTTTGAGATTAACTGTGGCTAACACTCCAGGCCAGAAGGTTCGAGCTATGAAGCTTATATATGTGACAAGTTAGAGCCTAGCTAGAGAGGTAAGATCATCTTTTAAGTTTTTATTCGGTTTGATGCTCGCAGCTCGGTTTGAGTTTAGAACGAGAGAGATCGTCATTTATGAGACTGATCGGAAGAAAATCTAAAGAAGAGTGCTTGTAAACTTATGTACTTCGGAGCTGGTGAAGTGTTGTGTACGCTTTGCGGAAGATAATCGACATTGGTGATCGAGCTTGTAATATTTGTCTCATTGATTCTCTTTTTGGCTTGATTAAGTTCTTGTTTATTCAGCGAGCGAGAATTTTGAAAGAGAGAGAGTTTGCCTATTGATTCAATTGGGAGTACATTTTCATAAGAGACCAGAGAAACAGAGAATGATCAAGGAAAATATAAAATGGCATGTGACTTTTGTCCCCTGTTTATAAAAGTTAATAACATTTAAAGACTAAATCTGTAAAGTATATGATTTTGTTGTAACACAATCTCTTACACTTGACTAAGTTATCTAGCTTTATGATGTTGTTGCAATATCATGATCATCTGATAGAGATCAAGATGTTTTGTTATTAGTTGAACTAATATCAATGAACTTATTCACAATGGTGGCATTTTTCTGTGGACAAAATTGTAGGATATAAAAATAGAAACTTTAGCAAGAAAACGAGACTTATAGAAAGGGGTCACTACCATTATTTCCATCACGTCCCATTTGAATTAGTTCGTAGTTCGTACCTAACTAGTCGATTGAAGTTTTGATCAATAGCGGACCACTCTTATTAATATATCATCGTTCCATATTTATGAAACTAACCACCCTCAAAGATCTTTTTTTTTTCACCCTCTAAGATCAATATGTATATATCCAAAGTTGTTTCATTTATAGTAGAAAATTTAACAACTATTATTTGTAACTACATCATCAAAAATATGTTCAAATTTTATTTGAAAAAGAGTATAGGATACTAGATTAGGATTTTCGTGAAGTATTAATGGAATGTTGGGTGTTTAAAAAAATCCATAGATCATGGGTTTGGAGATTACAATATTGGCTCTCAACAAAAGTGCCAACTTTAACTATGAGAGTCACAATATCGGATGAAGTTTCAAATAGGTCAGAATATTATCTACAAATTATAAATTTCAAAAACTGTATGTTCGGACTAGTTATATCATCAGAATTATCCATCCACATTTGTTTGTGCTGACTTCTAAGGCAAATAAAATTTAAACTAGATTTTTTTTTCCTTTACCGGTATTAACATTTCGAGAATAGAAATAAGAAACATAAAGGTAGGACCATATGAATAGCCAAGACTTGAACGCGTAACGAAAATCCGTACGAGAAAAAGACCAAATGAAAACTACGTGTTGATTTCGTCACTATTAATTTCCTTAATTTAATCTGCAACCGAAAATGGTAGAACGGATTATTTTAGTCGTTTTAGGCTTCATCTGAATTTTATTACCGTTGACTTTGAATTCTTCTGAAGATAGACTTTTTGTGCCTTTGTTTTTGAGAAAAAATAGAAATGTCGCCATATTCTTTTGAAAGTTTCAAAGCCACATCCTTCCTGTAAGATTCTTATTACATTCCAAAAGTTTCGGATTACGAAACAAGAAGCCGTTATGGATAATGGCAAAAAAATTCAACGAGCAAGGAAATGGGTCTAGTCGAATATACTCCTGACTCCTACCCCAAGTATAAAATTATTCTAAGTTTCATTCACATTACAGGACAAATTCTATTGTGGTTGGGCTCAAGGACTCATAATGGTATCCTTTACCTACTCGGCCCAATCCGGCCCACTATCCTCACAAAGCTTAGGAGACTCTACAAACTCAAGAAACGAAGATTGGTGGTGAATTATGGGAGACTCTTCAACACAAGTCAAAGACTAACATGTGTCACCCATATTTGTTGATCATTCTCGATGGATTTGAAAGCGATATCTATTCTCAATGTTTGTAATTATCTGGCTGGTTCGTTATGCGTTTTGAATTTTGCGACACGGTTTGATTTTTACAGCTTTCGCGTTGAATTTCTTCCTCGACTTTTGGTATGCTTTGTTTTTTTTTTCTATGATGAATTTGTTTGGTTGTGAGTTGATTCTACACTTAGGAAATACTCATCTCAGTATGTCTTGTCAAGAGAGTCAAGAAAACCTATAAACTAGTCCAAGAAGAAAAAGTTTTACAAATCCCTAGACTACTTGTTTGTTTTCATTGTGCAGTAAATGGGGGTAATCTGAGCATTAGAAGTGGCATTAGTTTACTTTGTTTTCAAACCTGATGTAAATAAGTCAGATTCTTATTAATTTGTCAAAAGAAACTTCTCCTTATCTCATTAATTTTGGATTTCTGGATTAATATTTTATAAAGAAAAAACACTTCAATGATTCAACGATTGTGTGAAAACCGACCCAAAGATGAACTAATCATTCGATTATTAGAAATACTGGCAATAAAATTGTATAAGCATACATATGTAAAAGATATGGGCCTCACCTCTCATTTATTAAAAAAAAAAAAACACTAAAAAAGTTTACAGTACTTACTTACTTCTACCATTTTACAAAATTTGAACTAGGATATCAATGTCAATGATATGGTGTAAGTTTATATTATTGCATGAGTCAGTTTGGTGTTCTGATGTAATATCGGGTTCACATTCATTTCACACTTTTAATTCTCGCTTTGAAGTTACATTGTATAGCCCACTAGATTCACTTATTCGTTTTAATTTCTTACAAAGGGTATTTAATTTAACTAAAAAGCGAAAAAACAATACAAACTATGACAATTAATCTTAACCTTTTACCAAAAAAAAAACTATGACAATTAAGTTACGCAATTTTGGAAGTAAAGACGCAGTAAAGGAGAATTAAGCAAAAGTTTAATCTAGTTTTAGAAAGCTAACATTGCGATGTACGTAGTAAGAGAAGCTAAGAAATGAGTTAGCATTTTAGTCCCCTCTAGATCTACCAGTTGAATAGTCCTTGGCCTCTACGCCCTCTTCTACCAACCGTAAACCAATGCTCTTGAATCTTTTGGTGTTGCGAGGAAATTAGAATTCTGTCCCGAGGCGGCCTTGGGTACTATGTAAATTGTAATGTGTCCAGCTTCAAATGCCACTTGCATTTTTCTGTGGTCCTCCTTAATGAACCAAACCAAAGTGAGACTGAGTCTGGTTTTCAGTTCTGATAGCAAACCGATTACTAACTGAACCGATTCAAAAGTGTAAATTGAACGGATAATACATCCAATTACAGATTTGGATGCTGAATTCTCATACTAGAGCAGATTTCTCAACAATCTAAATCGATACTAACCTCAGCAGAAACCAAGCAACTAGGATTGATTTTTGTATACTTGATCCGAATCTCGAACTGAAAGATCATAAAATACAAACGTATATAGATGCATGCATTAAACCAAGCTGAAACAGAAATGTAACGACATATATCTTACGTCGGATAGTCAATACGAAAATAAGAAATATACATTTTCTTATCAATTTGTTGTGTCTGAATATTTTACTTTACACGTATGACATCAGGCTATTTAATTACTCAATAATGCCCTGAAAGTCGTACCTAAAAGCTGGCCCTTGTCTCCCGACATTTCATTATTTTCCGGTGATCGATAGATGAGAACGATGTACTCAATATAAGTATATAGAGTATTTTCTTGTGCAAGAGAACAAGAGTTTGGTTTGTAATCTAGTAGTAGAAAGTTGCAAGAACACATAGATTTTAAATTTATAAGAAGCCTTAAATCGTGGTGATGGGTATCGTAAATCCTACTTGTACATAATAAAACAATTTATTTTCTTTCTCTTAATGATCATTGCTAATGCATGTAAATTTTGGAGGATATATTAGTGTTCACATTTGGTCCAAGCACGTGATCGGATTTTTATACTAACGAACAAAAAACCATCAAACAAAAAAAAAGTCTATGAGTTTGAATTATTTATTCTTGCATTGTGTGCTTTAAACATTTTATATTTTTGGGTGTTAAATCTTAATGTTTTAATGTTCATTAAAAGCTACTTCTCAAAAGTCTTTGCATTGTGTCCGTGACGCTGTCGGGCAACAGGTTCCGAACGGTTGATGTCGACATTAACCTAACGGTTGTCTTTTTGTGATAATTATTCAATTGAATATAGCCTAAAGTTTCATATTTATTTATTCATTTAATTACGCAGTTCATTGATCAACATGTCAGATGTCAAAAAAAAAAGATTGATCAACATGTCGATACGTTAATTTAGATTTTACATTTGAAAAAACAATATTTAGACTCCATCCAATATAATTCTTATGATTTTAAACTTTTAATGTATAGACATATTCTCTATTATGTTTTTTGAGTTTTAAATTCTCAAATATGTCAGAGTCACTCAGAATAATAATGAGAGTCGTTGGGAAATTTCAAAGGCTTTTTTGAAAGACGAATCAGTAAAAAAGATTTGATTCTATTAAAATATTTGATCATCTCTATATATATACATATTCATGTGTTTTCACACTCATGCCAAACACTTATTTCAAAGAAAAAGAGAAGCAAACTCGTTTATTTTCTTTTCTAGAGATTTGTCATCTTTTTTTTCTTTTTTTTTTTTTTAGTTTGGTAATAATGGGAAACTGCATGGAGAGGTGGAGGCAAGGAGAAGGGGAAGAAGGAAAGACAGAAGTACGAGAAAAGGCAAAAGAATCATTAAAACTTGAAGATGATGATCATGATGAAGATGGTCGTGGAGGGATGAAGGTGAAGATAGTGCTTACTAGACATGAATTGGATATGTTTTTGCTTCAGATGAACAAAAAAGATGATGGAAGCTTGATGATGACCGAGGATGTTATGGTAGAGCTAGAAAAGAGGATCATGAAAACATCATCATCGTTATCAACATCACCATCATTGATGGCATGGGAACCGTCTTTAGAGAGCATCATGGAGTGCCCCGAAGTCCAGGAGATGGATAGATGAGGCTGCTAAAGATATGATCTATATGATGATAATGAGTATGAAATTGATGATTATTGTGTGATATCAAGCATTTGTGTTAGATTAAGATGATGAAAATTTTGGATTAGTTTTTTTGTTTGGGTTAGACTAGTTTTGAGGTCGATCTCTTTCCATATAAATATTTTGATATATCAAGAAGAAATATTTATCTTGTGGATGGGTAGGATCTAATTGTAAGATAAATAATATATACTCGTTAAATTGTCACGGTTTGGGGGTGTAGCTCATATGGTAGAGCGCTCGCTTCGCATGCGAGAGGCACGGGGTTCGATTCCCCGCACCTCCATTTTTTAATATTCTGTCTTAATAAGACATAACTATCTCATCCTCAACCGTCGGATTCTTCCTTTTTGTTGGTCTTTTTCGATAAAATCGACGGACCAGGATTAATTGAAGCAGTAGAAAAGAAAATTCATTTTTTTTTAGGAGACCGTTGGTGTCTTTCCCTCTTTCTCAGCCTCACGTTTCTCATCTAAGATTCGCAGAGAACCGCCGATACTCCTCCGTCTTCTTTGCCGGTGACTTTCGCTTCCTTTAACTTCCGATTAAAACTATGAGCCTTCGTGTGGTATCCTCCGTATTCTATCGCCTCCCTAACCTCCACGAGACTCGTTCTCTTCTTCGCTCTATATTCTTCATCCACGGGAACAAACCTGCGTGTATCGGTCGCCGAAGACCGATTCTACACTCATCCTATAGCCGCCGGAGAAGTGACAGTGTTAGTGTTGGCGCCGCCGCCGATGTTTCGGAATCGCCTTCTTCGTCTCTTCTGGACGACGAGCTTTTGAGCAGCGTATCCGCCGTTAGAGATGCGGATGAAGCGCTGGATATGATTTCTGATCGATTCGGATCCGATCGCGGCGGAATCGTTGAAATCGAAGATTGCCGTTCGATTATCTCCGCCGCTGTCAGTCGTGGCAATGTCGAGCTTGCTCTGTCGGTTTTCTACGCCATGCGAGCGAGTTTCGATTTAGGTTCTCTCATCTCGAATTTACCCCAGAGAAGAAGTGATTGATTGAGTAAGCGAATTTTAATAGTGAATGTGTATCGCAGGTGGGAGTGAAAATGATCGATGGAGATGGTCAAGGCCTGATGTTGAAGTCTACACGATGTTGGTTAATGGTCTTGCTGCTTCATTGAGAGTTTCTGATTCTCTAACGATCATCAGAGATATTTGCCGTGTTGGAATCTCCCCTGCTGAGGAGGTAAGCACTAAGCAAGCAACAACATCCAAACCCATTTTTTTTTTTTTTTAAGAATCAAGAAAGCAATCAGCTATAATTGAAAAGAAAGGAGATTGGTTTGAGCTTACTTAGGTAGGGTTCATGTAAATACTCTGGTATATGTTTATAAGCATGATGACATTGACATTGATCTAGGTTCCCTTTGGTAAAATTGTGAGATGTCCGAGCTGTTTGATTGCCATTGCTGTTGCACAACCCCAGCATGGAGTTCAGGTAATGATGATCCGATCAAACTTCTGTGCTCATCAACATATCGTTTTCAAGAATAACTGTGTATGTTTTGCTGAGTATGTTTATAGATTGTCTCCTGTGCTAATTGCCGTTACCAATACGAGCTTTTCTCTGGTGACATAACCAGCATGGAATCAGAAGAGCTCGGGTTAGTTCTATTCAATATGTTTTTTTTGTTCTTTGTTACATAGTTCTAGGAAAATGGTGATGTAGTTTATTTTGGTTCCGAGAGTGGCTATTTGACCTGAATAGATTGAGACGTATATGTGGTGTGGTGTTGATGATGAGATATTCACTTTTTCTAAGGAGCTACATCTGACGAACGCAGCAAGGACATTCCTCTGTGGGAAAAAGGGCTCAGACTAATCCAGATAAAGAAGAACAAGCTCACATCTTCTGTGCATTCTATTGTGGTAAAACTAATAATCCTCATTGTGAACAAGGTTTCATTTTCAAAAGGATACAATTAGATACAGCAACATAATGTAGTTATTGCATTGGGTTTCTCAGGTACAAACTCCTTCTGGTACAGCACGAACGCACCGGTTTGCCACTGAGACAGCCGAGCTCCCAGCGCAAGAAGGAGAAAGAGTGACAATTGCATCTGCTGCTCCTTCAAATGCTTACAGACAAGTGGGACCTTTCAAGTTTATTCCCAAAGCTCCAAACCTTTACCCTGGAGAACCCATGAGTCTCACAAAGCACAAGGACGGACGAGAATCGCTTTTGCTAAGACCTCCTCCTAGTAAAGACGGAGATAAATCCTCGTTTCTCATTCCCCTTGTTGCTGTTTTGGCTACTGGAGATGCTGCTTCTGGCATTATTGATCCCGGTTTGCCTCAGTTACTCTCAGTTGCTGCTGTTACATCACTGGCAATCGGAGCAACCTTTAATTCTTTTGTCCTTCCTCAGCTTAATCAGGTATCACGTGAAACTGCATATGTGTTGGTGGTGTCTTGGGTATGAATATTCATAATCACTTACATGGTTGCAGCTACCTGAACGGACAGTGGATGTGATTGGTATCAAACAGCAACTTTTATCTCAGTATGATGTGCTGCAGCGTCGAATAAGAGATCTCAAAGAGGCTGTTGAGAAAGAGGTACTAAGTCTCATTTATCAATACCTCTTGAAACCCACAATATAGTGAAAGGACTAACATCTGAAACTACTTTGTGTTGTGTCTTTTTTAGGTGTGGATGTTGGCTCGAATGTGCCAGCTCGAAAACAAAATTTTAGCCGTGGGAGAGCCAGCTTACCGGTATGACCCTCACAGATCATTCTAACCTCATCATCTAGGAAGTGTTAACAAAAAAGTATATCTATCATAACGTGTGTGTGTGCGTTCCTACTCGAATTTAGAACTCGAAGAACAAGAGTAAAGATGGTACGAGAAAGTCTGGAAAACTCCATAAAGGGAAAGATTGAGCTGATTGATAGCTTCGCCAGAGTAAGAAAATGGAACAAACACCTTTTCACACCGTCTGGTTTCTAACTCTTGGTTTAAAAAAAATTGTTTTGATTCTCGATTGAATTATCGTTAGATATCATCAATGATTGAGATCGAGGTGGAAATGGACAGTGATGTTCTTGCAGCCGAGGCAGTGAACAATACTGTGAGTTATTTATTTGCAGTTCACTTATATGAACCTGATATGATCGAATCTGAGACTAACTGAAAGTCCATTGTTTCACAGGAAAACATTGCGCAACAGATAGAGCAGATGATGGAACTCGAGAACCTTGAAGAGGTATAGATAGATAGTTCCAAACGCACTTACATTCGAATTTTGGACAAAACAAGCATACAGTACCTTTGTGTTTATTGTTTACTTTATTGTTTGAGATGCAGAAATGGAAATTACAGGCTGAAGCAAACGATGAGGCCGAGAGACTTCTCAGCTCTCAGCCTTAAGCCCGTATATCAACAAACAAATTCGGTAAGTAAACCATCATCATAAATCATACAATCATACATTTATTTTACATCATACATTATACATAATCATAGAAAGCAATTATCTTTCCTTTCGGCGGGCATACGAGTGACATTAATAATGTCTGCTGTCAAAACTACAACGTAGATTCGTCAATGATACCATGAACTTGTGGACGAATGTTCTGGCATTACACTTTTAACTACAAATATTTATAGATTCCTTTTTTTAAAAAGCTTTTTCTTTCGCCAGAGCTGCGTTTGGAAATTTGTTTCCAGTGTAAAAGTAATACAGCAAAAACAAAATAATATGGTGTGAATATATTAATGTTGATCATCTGGATGATACAGGTCAAAACTTCTGGAGCATCGCTAAAAGTTAAAGTTTCTTTTGTCGGTCGCTACAAGTTAATTTCTCTTAGCTAAATAATATATGTAAAATATATAGTTTAATAATCACCGGAATCTCTATTTTCGTTGTATAGAGTTTATATGATTTGTATGCTTTGGGATTGTTTCTTGTCTGTTTTATTTATTCCTGGTTAATTATGAGTAGTTGCTTAGCACGCAAAGTGTCTTTCTCCAGAAAATGGGGGTGACATTAATTATGGTAAAAGAAAGAAAGAGGGAAAAACTGAAAAAGGCACGTGTCCTCTCTGTTGTTCATTCCTCTTTTTATTCATCAAACGAAACGAACAAAGAGGAGAAGCTTCTCTTTTGATTCTTTTCCTTTCTTTCTCTCTCTCTCTTCATCGCCTCTTGGAGCTCGATGGTTAGTAATATTCTGGTGACCGGCGGTGCTGGTTACATCGGAAGTCACGCGGTGCTTCAGCTTCTTCTCCGTGGCTACACCACCGTCGTTATCGACAATCTCGACAACTCCTCTCTCGTTTCGATCCAACGCGTCAAGGAACTCGCCGGAGATCATGGACAAAATCTCACATTCCACCAGGTTTGTCCGTCTCTGTATCGATGTGAATTTCGGTGATCATGACTTGAATTGAGAGTATTTGGTATCTCGATTCGCTTACGGTGCTTGATTTCGTCTTGGGAGTGAATGTTGTTGATCAAATCTCGTGATTGATTGTAGTCTTAATCTATTCCTGGATCGAATTGTATTAATCTGAGAAATTCTGCAAATTCAGATGGCTAATGCATCTCGTACCTGCAGGTGGACGTTCGCGATAAACCCGCGCTTGAGAAGGTTTTCTCCGAGTCAAAGTGAGTTCGTTTATAGATTAGCTCCCTTTTGATTTCTTCTTACCGGCTTACATTTTCAGCCAAGTTCAACTCTTAATTGAAATCTCATGAATTTTGACTCTGATTTCTGATTCCTAATAGATCCCGCAAGAAATTACCTTTATTTTTCGAGGGAAAAACAACCAAAGTTTTAGGGAATAGAGAATCTGAAAACAGAGATTTTATTGTTTCTGTCAACAACGTGTTAAGATCTGATCCAAAGAAATGGGATTCATCCTTAAGACTTGTATGTAATTGTAATGTAGGTTTGATGCAGTAATGCATTTTGCTGGACTGAAAGCAGTCGGGGAGAGCGTGGCTAAACCGCTTCTGTATTATAACAATAACTTGATTGGGACTATTACACTTTTGGAAGTAATGGCCGCACACGGATGTAAAAAAGTATGTCTTTTTCTTTTCTTCTTTTGCAGTGTGGAGTTGAGTTTATTCATGATATATATATTAGAGTTGTGATACATGTATTTAAACTCATACCACTTTTCTGTATCAGCTTGTATTTTCTTCTTCGGCTACTGTGTATGGCTGGCCAAAGGAGGTTCCTTGTACAGAAGAGTCCCCCTTGTCTGGAATGAGTCCTTACGGAAGAACAAAGGTAGTTTTTCCATACCAAAGTAAAAAGCTTTTTTACTTTTGTAGATTGAATTGGTGTTTATCCTGACAAATGTTACTCGACTTGTCTTTTAGCTGTTCATTGAGGACATTTGCCGTGATGTACAACGTGGTGATCCTGAATGGAGAATCATAATGCTGAGATACTTTAACCCTGTGGGAGCTCACCCTAGCGGTCGCATCGGTGAGGATCCTTGTGGAACTCCAAATAATCTCATGCCTTATGTCCAGCAAGTCGTTGTTGGGAGGCTGCCTAACCTCAAAGTTTATGGAACCGACTATACCACTAAAGATGGCACCGGGGTAAGATTTTCACAACCTTATACAATGATTATTTCATTTTTTAACTGTCCTTAAAACCAATGCATAACTCTCACATAGACCTTCTCCTTAAGTTTCTTCCACAAGGATGATGTGGATCTTGAATTTCGTTCTATTGTTTGGAAATCCAAGGATTTTTTTGCTCCAAATCATAGACATAATGAGAATTATACTTCACTTTTGACTCTAGACTTTGTGATGTAATAATCTTGTTTTGATTCCTCGGTGTGATGAGTTGGAATTGATCTTTAACGGTCATTTTCTACTTCAGGTACGAGACTATATTCATGTTGTTGATCTAGCAGATGGCCATATATCTGCGCTTCAAAAGCTAGATGATTCTGAAATAGGTACGGTTTTTCTAAGGGGACAATACATATCTCCCCTTAGAAACTGAAAACCTTATAAATATGTAAGGTTTTCCAAAAGCTCAGTGGTTTGACTTGGCTCTCGTGCTAGGTTGCGAAGTATACAATCTAGGAACCGGGAAAGGAACAACGGTGTTGGAGATGGTGGATGCATTTGAAAATGCTTCTGGAATGGTATCATATACAGACTCAATAAAATAAGCATTATAGAGTGTATGCGTTTGCTCTTCACTTAACTTCGACTTAATAATTTGAATTGATACGTGTACAGAAAATTCCACTGGTGAAGGTTGGAAGGAGACCAGGTGATGCAGAGACCGTCTACGCGTCAACCGATAAGGCTGAACGTGAACTAAACTGGAAGTAAGTAAATAACCCAGAGAATGTTTATCTTGTATGAAGTGTCTTTTGCAAAGTCTCTGAAGACAGGAGAAACTAAAAAATCTTGTTGACAGGGCAAAATTTGGAATCGAAGAAATGTGTAGGGATCAATGGAACTGGGCAAGCAATAATCCTTTCGGTTACGGTTCTTCACCAGATTCAACATAACAAAAGCTAAATCCCAACCACACTCCATTACATTTCTTGGTCTCTATGGTTCACCTCTCAGCTTCATCATACTCATACTCAGCTCTAAGCTTTGAAGCCAAAAACACAGTGAGGAAGCTACTTACTTCTCTATTCCATATATTATTTGCGTTCTCCTTTTGTAATTTATATTTACATATATATTACACGAATAGGCTTAACTTCAGTGGATTCTTTTGTTTATTGGATTTGTATCATCTTTTCTTAGGAAATTCTTTCTTCTTTTTATGTTATTTATTTATGGATTATATTTGTATTAAGTAGAAATTGGAATTCAGTTTTTTTTTTTGTTGTTGTTGTTTATGGGTTTCGTTAGCTATTTCAAGGGTGTGTATTGTATTATTTACAGAACCTTTTTCAAGGGTTTGTTTTGTATTATATACAGAACCTTTGAAATTTCTCATTTTCCTCTTCACGGCTTCACCTATGTATATATAAAAAAAAAACATTACGAGGACATTGACCAAATGAGCCCCACAACTTGTCTTTTTATCTTGAATTACTTGTGTAAGCTTTAACTATTGAAATGAAGAAAATTAAAGAGAAAAAGGACAAAAGATATTTTGAAGAAAATTACACAAATCTCAAGGATAGTGGGAGCTCTCCAATGATGTAGCTCAGTATTCAAACACTTTTTATTTACTATTTTCTTCTTTCTCCTTTATTTAACTTCTTCGAAATTACAAATACCACCAATCAAGATCTATTCAAAGTACATGAACACTATAAAGAACATTACAAATGCAAGAGTATTCCTTTATGAACATTAACACTCTTAGATCCCAAGATATGCAAAATGAAATCCACTTACTTTATGAAATATACATTTTGGAAATGGAATACAGATCTTCAATTTTACGTGAGAAACCTCCCATATCCGGATATCCCCCACTCCAAACATTAACAAGGAAAAAAAGAAAAGAAAAAGTTCATCCATATTCTCATGCTTTTTGGGCTCATTTCAAGGAACATGCCTCTCTCTTTTTTGGTTCAAAATAATCAAACACAGTAAAAGGCAATTATGAACATGCTTAGGGGAAACGATAAATTTTTACATTTTCTAATTAATTTCCTCAAACTTAAAACGAGCTAAAAACAAAATTAGTGAAAAAAGGATGAAAACTAATGGAGAAGAGAAAAATAATAATAGGGGGAAATTAGCAATGGAAGCCCAAGACGGAACCATCGGTTATAGAGACGGTGACCCGACAATCCGATTTAGCAACCACGTGATGCGTAAACACATGCAACACTTTGACCCGACCCACTAACTCCATCTTCGACTCTATCTCCATCGTTGGCCCGACCCGACTTGCATACCCGAAACCCGGATTTGCATATCCATCCCCGAGTGTTGGCCCCGTCCCTCCGCTGAATCCCGGCGGGGCTCCGGTCCCTGGAAAACCCGGTGGAGCTCCGGTCCCTGGAAAACCCGGTGGAGCTCCGATTCCTGGAAAACCCGGTGGACCCATACTTCGCGACCCAGGGTTCCCTTGAAAAACCGGAGAGCCTGGAATTCTCGGAGGATTTCCGTTTCCTGAAAATTCCGGCGAACCTGGGTTTCTCGGCAAAATCGGTGATCCCGAGTTTCCGGGAAAATCTGGAGAACCTGGATTTCTTGGAAAACTCGGCGTTCCCGGGTTCCCAGGAAAATCCGGCGTTTCTGGATCTCCTGGAAAATCCGGCGAATCTGGTATTTTCGGAGAGCCCGGAGTTACGGTGAAATCTGGAGGACCAGGCATCGCCGGAGAATCTGGAATCACGGCGGCGGAGACGGTGGCTAAGGCGGAGGAGGGAGGAGGAGGGGAAATGGGGAAAGATTGGACGGTGAAAGTGGCGGCCATGTATTGAGTCCTTCCGGAGTCAATTTTACCGGCGGGTATAAACATGAAACCGACTTGGTTACCCGAATAGAGGAGCTGAATGGAGCTGTCGTAATGAGAGAAAACGGCGCGGTTGGGGTTTCTAACGGCGACGTACTGAGAGAAGGTGAAGTTAGCGGTGTTGTTGGAGACGGCGAATGACGGGAGTTGGACGGCGTTAACGGAGATCTTGGGGTCTTTTGGTTTGAAGACGGTGAAGTAAACGATAAGGAGGACGGCGAGTAAGAAGAGCAAGAAGACGGTGGCGACGGCGCAAGAAGCTAGATTGGTACGGTTTGAAGGGCGGCGACGACCACCACCGTGAGGCTTGGCCATTGCCGGAGAGTGTTTGGAGCCGCAGATAGCGTTGAAGCAAAAGAGTGATAGTGAGACACAGAGAGAGTAGAGTGGGATTGTTATTATTAAACTTATCAGTGTGAAAACCAAAAGCGATGAACTTTTTTATTATGCCTTTAAAGGACAAAAAACAAAACAAAAGACACAACATTATAGCCGAAAGCCTTCTTTCACAAACAATATTTTCATTTCATGACCGGCTCCTCATTGCATTAGTCAAGAATGTTTTTTGTTTTGTTTACGGTATTAGATATTATAAGATTCCAAAGTCACATGAATCTGTGTGTGTGTGTGTATATTTCCACATTTAGTGGGTGAGAGACTGACTAGAGTTCATCATTTTCAGAGAGATTTGCTCTTTTATTCGAATGTTTAAAAATTGAATACCTAATTTAAGGGAAATACAAATTTAGCAGCACACTGCCAAATTGCTGAATGTGAAAATTATGTTACTTTGGTTGGATCCAACTTGCAAAAAATTAAAATATCACTAGAAGAAGAGAATGACAGAAATAGCCCTAATACTAGTGAATTTATGTCCCCCACTTTCGTCCAGGCCCATAGAAAACAAACCCACTACTAATTAGAGTTGCATTTGCATTGACGTTTTTCCTTTTTCGACACGGTTTTGACTCTGATATCAAAAATAAATCCTTTTTTGATTTTTGATTTGGTTTGCCGGTGTGAGCTGATGTGTTATATCCTTAACGAGCAACAAATCCTAAAACCCGACAACGTTTTATTCATTACAGAAGAAAAAGAACACAAAAGCTTAAGGCTTCTTTCATGGAAGAAAAAAATTATCCAAGAAGAGCCTATCAACGTTTTTTCAACCATTAACATACACACAGGAAAACCAAACTTTTTTATTATGTACTTAGATTGTTTACTTAGTTAGCTCGTCCAGACGACGATCCATGGCCATAGAGACAGCTTCAAGAAACGTAGCCTCGCTCGACGCAGGTAACACCGAGTTCTGAGCTTCTCTCACTATCTCTTCAATGGCAGAGTCCTTGTTCACTGTTTCTCTGCACATTATGCTTCCAATTTGATACGGCGTTAGGTTCCTCTCAACGCCTTTCTTCAGAAGCATCGTGGAGATACGTAACGTGCGTGAGACAGCTTCAGGAACATCCCAACCGTTGAGTTGCAGAAGCGCAATGTCTTGTTCAGAGTCTAGCGACTTTATGTAGTTGAGAATGTCCGAAGAAAACGGGACTTTTGCTTGCGGCCAGTATAGCCACTCGAATGTGCAATCTTCAAACTGCATACCCATTTCGATAACTTTTAGTCTCAGTTCTAAAATATTTGGAAGGTCATCAAATATGGAACGAATTATAGAGATCACTTACATTTTCCGGCAAGCAATAGCCATGATCGATGGGGATTAGAATGGTTTTGCCGTCTTCGCCTTTCCCGGTTAATATGTTTCCGGCATGTCGATCTGCGTTTGCCATTCTAATGTCAAAGACGCTGATCTTATGCACTTCTTCCACAGGAAAAGCTCCAGGGCCAATGTCTTCGCAGCTTCCGTTGTTCTTCATGAACATTTGCAAAGAACCAACTTTTGCATCTTTTGCAACTCCCTTTGTGTAATTATACGCTTTGTGAAAGCTTCTGACCATAGCGGTTGGTGGCACACCAGCAAAGCCCATAACTTCTCTCGACAATGATCTCGGTCCGGTTTTAGGATGATCTAACAAGTAAGCTGCGACTTCTCTGGTTGCTCCTTCTCCTACTCTAGTTCCTCTCTTCAATCCCTGACCGTCTGATGACACAGGAAGCTGCTGAGGATTGTTCACAGCCTTTGGTTCCTCATCCATGGGCTTGAAGACAGACACATAGTTGAGGCCTGAAGAATCTTGCATCAAGTATGTCCCTCCCGTTCCTTCAGCTGATCTCACCGGTGGATTGCCTTTGTTTAAACCGTCCACCGTTTGGTCAATCATATCCTCGAGAACCTTGGGTAGCTTCAGAGCGGGATTGAGAACAACAGGTTCTAACAAGAAGTCTTTGCCAGAAGCAGCATCGTCTTCTCTTTTCACCGAAGCTTCCTTCACCGATTTCTTAACCAGTAAACGGATCACAGAGTTTCCATCTTTGCAAATCCCATCTATGATCCTGTTGTCTTCAAGCTTCTCCCCTTTATACAAGATCTCTTGATCATCAACATCAGGAAAATCTTTCCCTTCTTTGGAGATGCGTTTTTTGAGATACCCAACATCTCTGCGTCGATCCACATGAAACTCGAAGATTTTACCGCAAGTGGTTATGACGGTGACAAGCAACGGGTCATAGAGCTTAAGCAGCAGATGCAACACACTACCACCGGTCACGCCATAGTCCTTGACACGTGAGGCGTTCCTTGCGAGCTCTCGACCACTGAAAACCAGTTTCTGTCTTCTTACCCTAAAACCATTACACGTCTGGATCCTAAGTTTCACTTCAGCTATGGAATCAGACTCCAAGATGAGCATAGGCATCGTAGAACCAGAAACACTTAGGAACACCAGAACCGATTCGACGGAGTAGTGCGATTGTTCGTGACCGAAAGCAAACCCTGATCCTCTATGAATCGGGCTCAATGCAACATCAGCAACAGACATTTCCTAGAGAAAAAACAAAAACAAACCTAGCTCTAATTCCAATCTAAACAAACGAACAACATAGATCTTTCTTGTACGGGCATCAACAAGAGACACCCCTCCATGAAATCGATCGGAAGATCCAAACCCTAAACACCAACACCAACTAAAACAACACTCTCTCAAAACCTAAAAGAGACTTAAACAACAACGAAGAAACCTAAAAGAAATCCATCTTAAGCGTCATCGATTGAACCTAAAAATTCCCGAAATGAATTAACAAAGAAGAGAACGAAGATCGGGAAATTGAGAATCGATAAACCTCTAGACCAGAATTTGTGCAAAGATCGGCGATTGATTTTCTCTGAAATGAAGATGATGATGATCTACCAAATAAAAATCGCTAAACAAAGGGGAAGATTTTTTTGTTAGAAGCAGCTCTTACTTTAAATAGACGCGCTTCTTAGTCTTTTCGGGATTTTGTATATTAACGCCGTTAGTCTTTCATCGACGACCGTTTGTTCCAAATAAACGGAGGGTTTATAAATAGTAACTAGATAATTTACCCTTCGAATCATATGACCTTTATTTTAAAACTTAGTTTCCGCGCAAATTGTGGCTATATGTTTTTTTTTTTCTTTTCTAATAATATACGTGGAGTTTTGTTTTTTTTTTTTTTTCATTCATTAAAATAAACCGATTTCAACCCCGCAGGGGAAAAGCACGTCAAAAGCAGATCATCAAAAAATATGCCATTTAGGCATTTACATTTACCTCACTAACAAATGGAAAATTATTTATTTATAAAATTAAAATTCTATTTAATTAGCTATCCCTTACGGAGTAAGTCCTTACCGTCATCCAACTAACGGAAACAAGAACGTGTCTTTTGGCTTTGCCGTTGTGAGTCATTCGTGCAATGAAATCATGCAACGTGTGATTCGCTTGTAAGAATAACTAAACATTAATTAAAGAAATAAGTTATTTATTTATTTAGAGAAATGTAGAGATTAAACGAACCTAATTATTAGAACAATTAACTTTTGGGAAACTTAGAACAGATCGTAAACCGAGATTATTGCCGTTGCACATGAATCATGGATGGGTGGGATTGGGTCCTCTTTCCATACAACAAAAAAAGAAAATCATATCTCAAAAGCTTAAAATATCATTACACATATTTTAATAAAGAATATAGACAGTATGATTAATATATATATATACATTATGAATATCAATACATTATGAATAATAATGAATTGCGCAGGTTCGTAGAATCATATCCCTGTGTAACTCATAACAAGGTTCTTTGAAAATTGCTTTGACTTATTTTAATACACTAATAACTAAATATATATTTTAAAAACTTGTGTATTGAAAATATCATCCGGATGACAACGATATATATATATATATATATTTATTTAGTATATAATATAACAGTTTTTGTAATGAGAATGTTTCTTTTGAAGTGTACCACCACGAAGGAAGGTCCAAAGGAAAGTGTGTCATGACATAATAACATGAAACACTAAAGATTCGACGTTTCTTTCGAATAGATCCGATGACCAGTTCATGCACAGAGTCGTGTTTACCATGTAGTGAAAAAGGCTTTCGCCTCAAGCCCCCAATATATGTAAATTTTTTAGGATCCCTATTTTCTTAAAAGGTGGTTAAGTGGTTTAAAGTTGGTATGAGTTTTTTTTTAATAAGATGTTTTTTTATTTTTATTTATAAAACGAGAAAAAAAAGAAATAGATTTAAAATTGAATGGCCTAGCTATCATATCTATAGAAAGAGAACTAGTTAGGGACTTCGATTATAAGAGTTTGGTGAAAGAGTTTATTGAAAAAGAAAGAAGAAAAATTATGTTTTAATTAGTTTTTTTAGATTAAGATTTTATTTTTGAATATTTTATATGATTTTAAATTATATTATATTTTTTTGTTAAAAATTTCTATTTTTTTTTTAACGAAAAAAGCTCCAATTTTTAAGTTTACCTTAAGTCCTTATAAACCTTTGCACTGATGCCTCTAACCTTACCTTAATTTTCTTTTATTTGCCTACCGTAAACAAACCAAACACCTTTTTACCAAAAAAAAAAAACAAACCAAACACCTTAATTTTTCCTTTCTATTCACATTAATTACATCCACATACTCAGAAAAAAAAGGAAACAAAAAAAGAGGTCAGATATGCTATTTAATAAAAACAAACAAATATTAGAACTGAGTTGTTAAATACGTCCAATATGGCCGGTGGCTTTAATCTGACAGTAAAGTAATATAACCTTACAAATATATTTAAATTATTTTGTAAATATAGATTTATTGTTGTCACGATTATGGTTAATGGTACATGAACAAAAAGTAAAAAACTCTAGAGAAAAAAAAAAGAGTTAAAACTAATTTAAAACACAATGGCCATAGGGCTGGAACAGAGCCAGATATCTGGATTTTTCAAGATATCCGGATCCGACTCCGAATTCGACGGATAATCAATTTTACTATCCGGATTCGGATCCGAAAACTTCGGATATCCGGAGACCGAATATCCGGTTTGAACTGAATATTTACGGATATCCGATCGGATATCCGGTTTCGTTGATTTAAAAAAAAATCTTCAATTTTAAAAATTATAATGATATAACATATATAATTAAAATATATCATTATAAAATATATCATTATAGCAAAATTTACAAATACCAAAAATAAAAAAGCATTCAAGATTTCAAATAGCATTCAAATAGCACAAAGTTTAAAAGTTTACATAGCAAAAGAGAAAATAGTTATAGAGAAGTTAATTTATCGTCATATCCTTGTGTTATCCATTTTCATGTTTTTTCTCACAATCTAAAATAGAAAATTATCATGCAATATAAATTTCAATCATGTGTAAAAAAGTTAAACCGAAAACAATTTTCGAACATAATTAAAACAAAAAATTGAATGCATATACAAAGATTTCAAAATTTTCAAAATCTTAATAAACATATAACGGATAACGGATAACGGATATCCGATTTCAAAATTTTATATTATCCGGATCCGTATCTGAAATAACCGAATACTTAGTTTCACTATCCGGATCCGGATCCGAACTATACGGATATCCGGTTTTTACGGATCGGATAGGACCGGATACCGAATCGGATAGCGGATACCGGATAATAATTCCAACCCTACGTACAACGATTACTTCAACACACGTGTGGGGCCGACGCTGGTGCAGTGTTCCACCTATAGCCGTTGTTCACCCAGTTACCGTTATTGAACCGTTGTATTACATTACAATACCATCGGCTGCATTTTATTACGATCAGGTTTTAAAATGGTTTACTCGGATTATATAACTTAAATCTTTAGTAATTTTCCTTATCAAAGAAAACAAAAAAAATCTTTAGTAATTTATCAAAGAAAACTCAATATATTTTCTGTGTTTCATACTTTCATTGTAAAGTTGCGTTAAAAATAAAAATGTCAACAGTGGTAAAAATGAACGTGAAACTTGTACAGGGAAAGAATGCAAATCATTTTGAACTTTTTGTACCAGATATTGCCGGACTGGTGTTGATAGACAGGTTCGGTTTCCGAATTAATAGAGAAGAAAGATCAAAATTAATCTCGAAAGAATAAATCCGGAGAAACTCTGCAGGCACATTCAAAGTGTATTTTATTTCTTCTAGTCAGTCGTCTACTTCGGAATCAAGAACGAAACTTGGAAATGCTAAAGTCACTTCCCTGCAAATCAGTATACTTAAATAATTAATCATGATCACTTAGTACTTAATTAATAATAATCATGGTCGAACTCAAAAAGAATCATTGTTACTTTCCCAAATAAAACGTGGTATTACTTGAGGTAAGGTAAAGTCATGTTTTTGAGGATTGAAGGATTTTTAGCGACGAGCTCTTTCCACTCTTCTTCATCAATTTTGCCATCTTTATTCGTATCAACCTCAATCATCGTCTGTTAGTTAAACCAAAACTTGATTAGTGAATTTAACATGAGATATGAAATAGAAATATGTCTGTTATAATTAATCAAATTAACACATAAGTCGAAAAGAAAGCATGTAATCAGGACCTGTTCGACGATGGCTTTAATTGATTCTTCGGAGAGTTCTAAGTCTGTTTCACTAAGTAGTGCGCCCACCATCTTCTTCAACTAAATTTCCACCAAACAATATTACACATAAAAAAAATGCATCTACTATACACTCATACTTGTAAGTTGTAACCAAAAACAAAACAAGAGATTACACACACATATATATATATATATATTGGTCTCAAATTTAATATAAATACCTAGAATAAAAAAATTATTTTGCTATTCTGCAAAGTTTTTTTTATCTATATTCATCAACTTTGCAATTCGAACATGGAAAAATTTAACGGCAGACCATTTCCAATTTTTGTTTCTTTAAGTTTCCGTAGTACGAGTAGATCTCTAAATCATTTTATCAGTACCTCATCAGCTTGGATGAAGCCAGTTCCATGGAGGTCATAAAGCTTGAACATAACTGCCATTTTACAACATTATGAAACGGTTTAGCTAATCCCTCAAATACCAAAATATAGCGTATAATATATGTTCATGATCCTCATGCATATAGATACGTACATGAGGACTTTTCATGTTCCGGAGTGTGTGGATGGAAGATGCTAAGTGAACGAACAAATTCACCAAACTCAATCACACCGTTGCGTTTCCTATCAAACATATAAAAGACCTGCAACAGTTTATTTCTAATTAATACCTTAAACTATATTATTCCTTCAACAGCTAAGTAAGTGCTTCTAGCAAAATTCATCATTTTCTTGGTATGATATATATTATAAATCATAAACGACCATTTTTTTTGTATGATAAAACGAAACATATAGTTATTGATGTAACATTTGTTTTATGAGTATGGATCATGGAAATAGAGTTACTAACCCTGTCCGCAAATAGATTTTGCATACTGCTTTTTCTGAACAAAGCCAGAAGAAACTCTTCCTGCTCGTATATATAAGGTCATGAAGATGCATATTAAATTCCAAAATGAATTGATGCGAGTTTTAAGAATGAAAAAATAACCCATTACATAAATAAATGGTACCTTATGGATAAGACCATCGTCGATAATGGATGTACTTAGCTTCTTGAATAAATTGTGTAAAGCCTCTATCTCATTCACAGTAACTGCATATAGATCGACTGTATATATAACCTCTATTCTCTATATATATACATAGCTTCATAACATGCATGTAGATATATTACAGCTCATATTGGTTATAGATGTGTACATGTGTCGTCTATTAAATCTTCTTCTTCCTAACTATTTAATTTTAGTTATTCAATCTAGAATATGTCGTTTTTTTTGTTTGACTTACATGGAGTTTCGGATGCAAGAACATGAGGGTCCTCATATCCAGGAGGATGCTTTGTTCGCTTCAACGAGAAGCATTTCACGAAAGCCAACATTTTTCAAAAATTTTACCTTCAAATTTTGATTATATTTTATTAATTACTTTCGATATATCAACAACTTAATCCAACTGTAAAATAAATGAATTATGGTGCTGCTAAAATAACAAAAAAGTGCTTATGATTCATATTTTATAATCTATCAGTGATCCATATATATGATTTTTAGGATTAATTATATAATAATAATTAAACAGCAAACCATAAATGAAAATTGGATTAACAAAATTTACAACAGACACTAATGAATCTGGCCTTGAGCTTATGATCTGCCATTTTGTGATTACAAGTTTAAATCATGACAATAAATCAAGAACATAGAAACAGACTTGAAACTAAAAATAGTCAACCCAATTAAACTTTTGAGGTTTTCACAGAAAAAAAAAGAAAAACCATTCACCTTTGATATGATCACGTAAGACCCCCCAAGAACCAAACGAAACACACACAAATTATAATGAAAAAACAGGCCTACAAAATCAAATCTTTTTACCAAGACAATCAATCGAATTTTTTTTTTTTTTTTGGTAAAGCAATCAAACGAAATTTGAAACCCATATATATTGTAGAGATCTCTGTTTATGTAAAGAAAAAACCTCAAATAATCAGAAGAAAGATTCGATATTTGCTAAAAGAGATCATGAAAAGTGATACCTGGATGATCTTTCTTGTCTTCAATTCCTATTGGTTGGATTTAAATTCGGTGTTGGAGAAGACTTTCTGGTTTTTTTTTTGTGTGCATTACAATGACGATGGAGTGCTTCTGTGATTGGACGGAAACAAAAGGTTATTGTTTTTTTAAGATTGAGTTGTTAGTATTTTTTTAATACTACATTAAAATTCAAGAATCATTTTAAAATGAAAAAAAGGTGTGCCTCTACGGTTTTTATTTGGCCCATAATGAAAAATTGTTAATAAATAAAATTGAGTTAATGTGAAGTACTTTAAAGTGGTAGGGTACATATATAAAAGGGATATTCTTTAGATAGCTCAATTTTTTTCTTACTGTATATTTTATTTTCACAAATTCTCCTTAGTATATTTACAGTAAAGTATATGGCTATTTTTATATTGTTTAGGTTTGAATTCCTCCTTCTAGATTAGATCTGATGGAGTTTCTCAACTTCAGAGGTTTGCGTTCATCGGATCTCAGGTTTTCTGGCGAAGCTCTGTATCGTCAAAGCTGTCGGCGGCATCTTCTCACCGTCAACCTACTCTTCGCCCAAAACTGCCACGTGTGACACACGTGTTTTTAATTTAGCAAACGTTATCCCTTTTGTAACGGGTTATAGTTGGGTTTGAAATTGTACTGGTTTTGGGCTTTGAATCATCATGTATTTTGTTTTTGGGCTTTAATATAGTGGACGACAAAAAAAAAAATTCCTCCTCCTAACCCAAAAAAAAAAGAAAAGAGAAGAATAGTTTAGGCTTGAACATTTTTAGGCCCATCTAAAACATTTTGCGGCCCATTTAATTATTGGTCAGAGAGGGTTTTAGAATTCTCTCTGTAATCAAGATGAGGACTTTAAGATGGGACTCCAGAAAACCCTCAAGTGCCGTCTCCGAAGCTCAAATCAAAGCAATGGAGGAAGAAGCAAGAGAAGTGGTGATCGATAAGGATCTGAAGAAGAAGATAAAGGAAACGGTGAAGAAGCTCTTGGAAAGGTCGAGTTTGTATCAGATAACAGAGGTTAAGGCGCGAGAAGAAGCTTCATCTGAGTTGGATCTCGATCTTTCGCAAGATCCGTACAAGCTCATCGTGAGGGAAGCCGTCGAGAGTTTCATCGAGAAGGCTGTATCCACGATCGAGAGTGAGATGGGAAAGCACCATACTCAGATTGTACAAGACGTCCAAGGAGTAAGCGAGGTTTCGTCCAAGAAAATAAAGAAGAAGAAGAAGAAGACGGACAAGGAAGATTCGGCTGCTTAGATCAAATTTATCAAGCTCATCTATGGATTTCGTTCTGTAATTTCCCGGTGAGTCTGTTTGATTTCAACGATGATGATGAAACTCTCAAGTCAAGTGTGACCAAATTGAATGGAATCTGCTTTAACATCTATCAAAAGCTTATCTCAAAAAAAAATGCTTCAAATTAATGATTATGACATTTGCATTCCTTTCTTGGTCGAGATTTTGACATTATTAGCATTTAGTAGAGACAATTGGAAGATTGAATTGACAAGATTGTGATGGACTCGCCACGTAGATTACGCTGTAACCACATGGTTAGTAGAAATATTCACATATTCATGGACTCAAATAAACCCACAATATATATATATAATACTGGAATACAAATTGATGCAGGAATATTTTAGATAAGAGAAACGTCTAACACCACACAAAATGCTAGCCATCATTTTCTTGTTTTCATCATATAACAAACACAAATACATTCCAAGAAAATTAAAAGTATTGAAATGGGTTGTGCTTCCTCCAAGCAAGTGAAAGCCAACGTCGTCGCCGACGTTTACAAACCACCGCCGTCAAGTTTCGCGGTGTTTGATATCAACGCCATCGAAGAACCATGGCTAAAACTCGAACAAGAAGACGATGAGAAACCAGCACGCGCCGCCGTACAATTCACAGTCGAGGATGGTGATGATGACGCTCCTAAAACATGGGATGAGGTCAGCAAATCTCTAGAAACCCACCTTAAACCATCCGCCGTTAAACCGCCGCCGGAAGTGGACTCCGTGAAACCTCCGGCGACTCCTCCACGACGGCTTCCGCGGAAGAGCGCATCGTTCCACACACTAGACGAGCTAGAATCATCGAGGGCGAGAAAAGTCATCGCCGCGCAAAACCCGACGACGACGACGACGACGGTCAAGCTAAAGAAAACAGAGTCCATGTCCGAGTTAAGAACAGAGTTCGCTCGGACAGAGTCAGCTCGGAGCGAGTCGTCGTACTCGGGGTCTCGGTCGGTGAAGGAGAACATATTCGTGGTGAGAGACAGAGAACGGAGGGAGAAAGAAGGGAACAAGAAACCGGTGATGAACTGGGACCCACTCAGGGAGTTTCCGGAGAAGTGTCCTCCCGGAGGAGGAGGAGAAGGATTGGTGGTGTACACGACGTCGTTGCAAGGAGTGCGTCGCACGTACGAGGATTGCATGCGTGTGAGAGCGATCATGGAGCAGCAGGGAGTGGTGGTGGACGAGAGGGACGTGGCTCTAGACGCCGGAGTGCTGAGCGAGCTCAAGGAGCTTCTCCGAGACGAGGAGACGGTGGCGCCGCCGAGAGTGTTCGTGAAAGGGAGGTACGTGGGAGGAGCGGCGGAAGTGGCGGCGATGAACGAGAACGGAAAGTTAGGGAGAGTGTTGAGGTGGGCACGTGTGGAGAGAGTAGGGGAGGAAGGGAGGCACACGTGTGAAGGGTGTGGAGGAGCAAGGTGGTTGCCTTGTTTGGAGTGCGGCGGTAGCTGTAAGGTCGTTGCGGCGGCGGCCAAAGGGGAAGTGTGGGACAAGTGTGTCAAGTGTAATGAGAATGGTTTGATTCGCTGTCCTGTTTGTTTTGTTAGTTAAAAAGGATTATATATATATATATATATAAGAATTGGATGGACACACGTACGAGGGGGATTCTAATATATTTGTATGTGACATGCTTGATCGGTTATTTCTTATAGTGGAAAGTTTAAAATGATTTAAGACTAGGCTAGGATCTTAAACAAGCACACGACACAAAACACTTTTGCTCTGTTTAGCAATTTTCCTCTCATCAAGAAATTCCATCTGAAATGTGATCATGAAAGATGAAAAATTGTATTATTCAATGACTACGCCACAAAGATATCTAAGGAAAAAATTAAAGCCAGTTTGTGCAGAGAATGTCGTCCTTTAGTATTTGCTGATGTATAAGTATTTCTTCCTTTTAGTTTTGTGTGTGTTTAAGATATGTTTATTTTCTTGTATGTGTTTAGTATTTCTTCCTTGTAGTCATGTAATGTATGGACAAAGGTAGGTTTTTGTGGCTTACATCTGTATAAAGAACAAGGAGTAGTATGCTGTTTGTCGAGTGAAGTTGCTAGAGATTTCAGGGTACAGATGAAGTTTTAAAGAGCTGAAACAAATGTGGAATTTCTTGGACAAGTTAAAATATCTTCAAACTATGGAAGTTGGTGTTGAAGAGGACAACAACAATGGTAGCTACTCTAAAGGCTCTCCCCACAACTTTGCAATATCCAGTTCATCTGATTTTTCTCTTTCCCCCTCTCATTTTAGTTTTGTGGCTGATATTTGATGGCATGTGTATGGATTATATAAACAGAGCAATTCACACAAAAGAAAAATATAAAAATTCATAGAACTTGACAAAGCAATGCACCAAATAAATTAAAGATAGATTTACTTTTGTTCGAAAGAAACATTGGAAAAAAAAAGAATTTAACTCTTGTCACATACAAACCTGCACTTATACAAAACGAGGCCATGTCATAATTTTTTAACTAACTTCATCAAACCACTGTTTCCCCTTGATGACGTATAAGAGAAAACGACCAATTCATACTTGCACAAGACCTACACAAGACCTACACAAGACAGAAAGTTCTCACCATTCTCTGTGATAGCTTTTTCTAGTTCCTCCTTGCTTCTGAAGAAATTAACTATTCTTTGTTGAGGAGAACCAACAAGAGCAAGAGGTTGAGGAGAACCAACAAAAGCAAGAGGTTTAGAACGAAGAAGAGCAAGATTATGAGGAGAACGGAGAAGAGCAAGAGGATGAGGGAAATTAACGAAGAGGAGCACGAGGTTGTCCAGCCAGTGCAAGTGGTCGCTCAGCAGCAAGCTATAGTGCCTCTCCGCCAATCCACTCGAGGTAAGACTCCCAGTCGGAGGTTACTTGAGAGTGCAGAATCGAGCTGAAATGGGAGGCTTAAGAGGTGTTTATAGGGAAAACACTTCAATTTCATGTATACACTTATGGATCGTAAAAGTAAATAACTTTTAATCCTTTTTGGTTTTGATTCAATATGGAGATGTTTTGAAATTTGATGCTGAGGCACTCAAGAGGTGTTTATTTGGAAAGCACCTCAATTTCATGGAACATAAAAGTGAATAACTTCAATACGGAGATGGTTTAGTTAGATGGACTTTTATAAGCAAATAAAAGGGTTGAGTTTGCTAAACCACTCATGCATCCCAAACTTGTATGGCGATTTAGAGCTTAAGACTTTGTTCTTACAGCATTTTTGCATTAGAGTTTCTCACACTCTATAACACATGAAAACAGAGCAATTCACACAAAAGAAAATTAAAAAATTCATAAAACTTGACAGAGCAATGAACCGAATAAAGATAAATTTACCTTTGTTTGAAAGAAACATTGGACAACAAAAAGAATCTAACTCTTGTCACATACACACAATGTTGATGGTCTCTTCAGTTGTACTTCCTCTTCTTTATCTTGAAGGAAGAAGATCGGATAATGTCGTCATCCGCAGTGAGAACGGCTTCGAGTGGAGTTATTGATTCGGGTTTGGTGAAGTAAGTGAAGAGAAGGTAGATTCCATCCAAGTAAGTGTTAGTTTCTCCGGCTTTGTTCTTCTTTCTGATGCTGTAAGCCAATGGAATCACTCCTCTGTTGAAAACTTCCACATACATTCCACCTCCTGCCACAAGCAACTGCCAAAACACAAAAACAAAAACCAGCGAATTATCAACTCTTTCCAAGTCTACACCATGCAGTAACCAAAACCAACACACATTTCAGAACCGTGATCTGCTTAATCATGTTCTATATAGCCTAAAGAATCCACATATATATATATATCACACGAATGGGGAACTGTGTATTGGCTAGTTTCGAGCATCATGCTGTCTGGACATTTCAAGAAACTGAGTAAAATGTTAAAGTAATTGCACAGCACACAAAAGGATGAGATTGTTCCTAGAAAGCTAAGCCTATTACTTGAGATTATTACAAGCATTCGAGAAGAAAAGAGAGACGTTTAACTGTGTACATTCAGCTCTACATGTAACCGTTTTCTACAAGACTTTGGTTTGTCATCAATGTGCATAAACAGACAAACACAAGATGCAACTTTTTAATCACCTTCTTACCTATAAACTATCAAAGAAAGAAAGTTTCCACATTGGATTCTGAAAAATTGAGTATACGATTAGTTTCTACTGATCAAACAGTAGTTGAATCCCAAAAACCTCGTTCTATCTGTCTCTAATTGAGTAAACGATTAGTTTCTAACTTGCAGAACTTATTACCTCTTCGTATTTCTGGGTAAGACCAAGCCGCTCATCTTCAGACATGTCTGGTCTCAAGACCGCCATTGTTTCGTACTGTCTAAGCCCAGGTGGGCACTGAGGTTCCGGTTTGTCCTCGAGGGCGGTTGACACGCCCGACCCGGAAGTAGATGTCGGGTCATCGTCCGACCCGAATCCACCTTCAAAGAAAGTACCGGAGAAATCAAGAGCCTGAGATTTCACCACGAATCCAGAGTTATCTCTCTTTTGCTGCTGTAGCGAGGCAATAGGTTTCGACTTGGAAATGAATGGCCTGAGGGAATGAGAGAAAGAGAGGAGTGGCTGCGATGAGATATTAGGCAGAGAGTGAGTGCAAATTGGAGAATTCGATAGACAGGACGCCGCCATTGTTAAGAGATGGAGAGCTTATTAGAAGTAAACACAGGAGCTTCGAGAAAGCTAAGGCGATGGGGTAATTTGGATAAGAGATGATGATGATGATGATGCTGTACACGTTAGTCGAATGCTAACGTGCATCATTGGGCTTTTAAATCGACTCGGCCCGTTAACGGCCTGTTTTGTAAATGACTCTTCTTTGCTGTTTGTGTCTTCCTCCTCTATATCTCTTTGCTTTTCTTTGAGACCAAGCCAGTTCTCGTCGCCGGAGGAGAGAAGAAAGAAAGCATAAGCTATGGATCCGCAGCTCACAGAAGTTTCGCAGCAGTTCGAGAGATTCAAGGCGGCTTTTGTGAGGAAGGACTACAATAGCTGTAGTGATCTGTTGTCTCAGCTTAAGGTTTCTTTTCTTTGAACCCTACTTTGTTTCGATCTCACTTTGTATAGTTAGGGGAAATTGATGGTTTATGTCGCGAGGGTTCATATCGATGAGGGCTTCTAGTTAATTAAAGAGAGAATTTAGGTTATCAATGTGCTCAGGATCTTTTAGCCAAGCTAAGTATGGGATTGTTATCGTGAGTAGAACCTGTCGGGGATTGGTTTAGATTTGAAATTGAATACAAACAAACAAATTTCTGATGTGGATGCTCTTTGCTATGTTCTTCAGGTTCTTCTGACCAAATTCACAAGTCTTCCTCCCTTGTTTGAGAATACACCAAATGCAGTTCAGGAGCTGACTATTGCAAGTAAGTTTCTGTAACTGCTTGTTAAGTTTATAAGCTTGCTTTGCCATCAATTACATGGAGTATTCCCCAATTGTTCCTTCTCATGACTTAGTTTATACATTTCAAGGGTGACGAAAACCTTTGGGATTATGTCAGGCTTTTCTCGTCTTTAGACTGTCTGTATCCCTATATGTCACTCTGAACGACTTGAACTGGTAGATTACTGTTTACTAGGTCTACTTGAATCGTTAAGAACTCTGCTTTTGTCTGCTTTCTGAAGCGTACATGATTTAGATTGAGCAATTAGTAGATTTCTGGTCTTATGGACTAACCGCTTCTTTAAAATTGACGATTTTGGGAATTCTAGGGGACATTTATGAGCATGCTGTTGTTCTAAGCGTAAAAACTGAGGATCAAGATGCTTTTGAGAGAGATTTCTTCCAGTTGAAACCGTACTATGTAGATGCCAGGTGAAGAAAGAACCCACTGTCTAATGTCTATGTAGACACTATCCTTTTTCATTTGGATACGATGTTTCTTTTGTTTTAACATTCCTTCCTTTTCTCTGCATCAGGAATCGTCTTCCGCCATCTCCACAGGAGAATCTAATCCTGGGTCTGAACCTTCTGAGGCTGCTTGTACAAAACAGGATTGCTGAATTCCACACCGAACTCGAATTACTCTCGTCAGCTACACTGGATAATCCTTGCATCAAGCATGCAGTAGAGCTTGAGCAGTCCTTCATGGAAGGTGCCTATAACCGCGTGTTAAGTGCTAGACAGACCGCACCTGATGCAACTTACGTCTATTTCATGGACCTATTGGCAAAGACCATAAGGTAACATCAATGAGTCCGTCCTTCTCTGTCTGAATTAGTTCAGTTTCATGCCTTGTCGCTTGTTTTCTCACCTTTTTCTTATTGATGTTATCACTGAACTATCAGAGACGAAATAGCTGGATGCAGCGAGAAAGCTTATGACTATGTATCTATCGGAGATGCCCGGCAGATGCTCCTGTTCTCTTCTGATCAAGAACTCTTCACCTATGTCACAGAGGTAATACAACGAACATTTTGTGCCAAGTGTTGGTATCTTCTTTATTTTCATCAACCCTTGACAAAAACTTACGGTTTGATCAAATCTTAAAGGAGCACCCGGAGTGGGAAGTGAAGGACGGGTTTGTTGTTTTCCAGAAAGCCAAAGAAACTGCACCGTGCAAAGAGATTCCATCTCTGCAACTCATCAACCAGACTCTAAGCTACGCCAGAGAGCTGGAGCGTATCGTTTAAGTTCAACTTTTCTCATTGCTCGTCTCTTTCATTTTGTTCCTGGAAGGCCATAAAACTTTGTTATCATGTAATGACTGATTTGGAGCGATTCAGTATTTCTCAAAGAAGTGATTCGGTTGATTGGATTTAGCAAACGAGACTCTCGCTCTTACCTTATGTTCTGTTGTTCAGTGCTCACTCCTTTATCATTTAGTTTCTTTCTCCTCCTTTGTTTGATTTTTTTTTCTTCTTTTTCTTTTGAATATGATGTCCCTGATTTTGAGGTGTTCAAAACTAGAGTTGGGGCATTTGAAATATCGGTTAGGTTAATTTCGGTTCTGGTTTGCGGTGAAATATTTAGTTCAGTTTGGTTCAGGTTAGGATAGGAAAGTAGGAGATATTTATAATCCTCTAACGTAGAGTAGCTTTGTTTAGCGAAACTGAATCTAGTCCGAACGTTTAAGAAGGTAGGAAAGGGACAAGTTTACTCGGGACAAGGACAAATGATTTTCCATTGCCAAACACCATCAACTTGGGACACAACTTGAAACAAGTGGCGATTACGTTGCAAGCATTTCTTCTGTTTTGGGTTTAACAATTGATTAACTAGTATAATTATTTAATTCGAAAAGGAAAGAAAACTCGCGATTCCATATCTTTTTCTTGAATAAAAAATTAGATTTGCTGAATAATGAAAAAACTTTCATTTAGTAAACTCCTCCCCTCTACGATGACACAGTACTCTATTGATAAACAATTTTTTGACTAATCGTGAATCGCAAGAAGACTTATTTAATTATCCACTTTGGGTAAGCAGTTGAAAGTGGCTGAGTGCTTTATAGATTTTTACTATTAATTTCCAAAGTGAGATTCCGTTTAAATGGTAGTCCATCTAAATTCTAACTATCTTTTGGTTTTTTTATTGTCAATTATTGCTTTGTTTATATCATAATTATATGCTAAGAACATCATTAGTATAGGAGTTAATTATATGAGTCGTTGTTATTCTACTCACCCACAACACGCACTTAGTGCCTAATTGCGTCTTAGTTTAATATTTTGTAAAGCTTTTAGGTTCTTAGAAAAATGCGATGACAACTTCTTGGTGCTGGACATGTAAGAACGTTTAAATATAGAGTACTATATCACAGATGATAAATTAATTTCTGTAATGGGATACAAAACTTTAGTATGTAATGATATAATTGTCTCGGTCATAAAGAATAGATTTCTTTTTAAAAATGGTATCATAGCATTCCAAATGAATGGATCATCCGATCATTATACAATATTATATAGTATATGTATAATCCACAACATCGGTGTATCGAATTTTGGTCAAGCCAATTCTAGGGTGGTCAATCAATATAATTTTAGAAACTTCCACAACAGATACTAAATATAGTATTAAACGTTTTAGAGTTTATAAATAGCCTTAGAATTTATATTTCAAAGCCAAATATATATATATATATATATATATATATATAAAGAATTGGTTTGGAAAATGCTTCATATAAATTTGGTCGTAAAAGCCAAATGCAATACTTTTTGTTTTTGTCTCAGAAAATAGTGAAAAAAATAAATAAGTATAGAAATTGCATGGATGGAAGAAGATAGTCTAGTGGTTGGGGTAAAATGGTACAGCGTGGAATCAAATTGTCTTTTATTTTAATATTCCCAACTTGCCCTCTCTTCTTCTTTTATGCTTCCTTCCGTTTTCGAGACTCTGGAGAGAGAGAGGTTGAAGAAAGCTTGACGCTGAAGAAGAGCCTTTTCTTTTTTGTTATTTATTTTCCTCGGAGGAAGACGACGAAAGTGCGGCGAAACTTCCGGTGACATTCGTACTACTACTACTACTCAGAAGAGAGTTTCGTTGCCTCGTCTTCCTTGGGCTGCTGCTGTTTATGGAACTTGACGATTTGGATCTCGGCGGTTCTTGGCCGTTGGATCAGATCACTTTTTCTTCAAATTTCAGGTCTCCGGTCATTTTCTCTTCTTTCGAGCAGCCTTTCTCTCCTCTCTGGTCCTTCTCCGAAGCTGCCGGAGATGCTGGCGGCGAACTTTGCTCCGCCACAGCAGCTCCCACTCGCTTCACGGATTATTCCGTTTTACTTGCAAGTAAGTCTCTCCATGCTCTCTCTCTCTGCAACTTTGGATTCTAGAATCCAATTCGGATAATGTAGTGGATATGCTGCCATTTCTAGATAATATTCTCGCAGGAATCAAACGGATCGGATTTGTGTTTTCCATTTTTTGCTGGATCTTATTCGAATTGAGATTGCATTTTGTCTTAGATAGTGAAAAAATTTCGATCTGGAAATTCACAGAATCGACGAAATGCAGGTTCAGAATCTGAAACCAACAAGGACAAGGACAATATCACGGCTCCTTCTCCGTTGTGGAGGAGTATAATGCCGATGGAGAATCCAGATAGTTACTGTGCGATCAAAGAGAAGATGACTCAAGCGCTTAGGTACTTCAAAGAATCAACAGGGCAACAACACGTTCTTGCACAGGTTTGGGCGCCTGTCAAAAACCGTGGACGATATGTTCTTACAACTTCAGGACAGCCATTTGTTCTTGGTCCCAATAGTAACGGCCTTAATCAATACAGGATGGTTTCGCTGACGTATATGTTTTCCGTTGATAGTGAACGGGACGGAGAGCTCGGGCTTCCCGGTCGCGTTTTCAGGAAAAAGTTACCTGAATGGACCCCAAATGTTCAGTATTACTCGAGCAAAGAGTTCTCCCGACTTGGCCACGCCCTGCACTACAATGTTCAGGGAACCTTGGCTTTGCCTGTGTTTGAACCATCCAGGCAGCTCTGTGTTGGCGTTGTCGAGCTTATTATGACTTCTCCAAAGATTAACTATGCACCTGAGGTTGAAAAAGTTTGTAAAGCGCTTGAGGTTTGGTTTTGTTTCCTTTCCTTTTTTTTTTGGTTCTCATCGCTTTCCTTTTTTGGGTTTTCCGGTGACATTATTAACGTTTTCTGTTAATGCTGCTGCAGGCAGTGAATCTGAAAACTTCGGAAATATTGAACCACGAGTCTACTCAGGTTATCTGCCAGTCCAATATCAAAATCTCGAGTA